TAGCACTAAATTACCACTCAAAGCTTCATCTTTACGATAGATAGATTTGAATATTATAACGCATTTGAATCAAAACATTCAAGCTCACGTTCAAAGTAATTGCTGCGATCATTTGCATAACGATAAGTGATTGAATCAAATAAGTTCATGAAGTCAGCTCATTGTCACATTCGCCGATCAATCATTTTAGCTTTTTATAGAATTATTGAGTGGTCTATTAAAAGTTATCAGTTGTTGTTGACGTATCGAGATTAAATGATTCAGTGTGGTGCCATCATCGCTGTTGCTATTCATTGTGTTTTAATAAGTTCTTCATTAATTGGATGTTCAAGCAGATTTCGATCGAAGGTTGATTTTGAATTCGATTGATTTTGATGAGTTTTGAGGACCTGATATTGGGGCATATTGGGTATTGCTGCTGATGGACAGCCGTTACTGTTTCTGCATTAACATAGCGATAAATCTCTTCTCGGACGACATGAAAATCTCGCCTGATGGAAATCTCATGTCTACAAGCAAATATTCAGTATGCATCCGACAAGCTGAACAGCCAAAACAATCCTGAAAAAATCCCAACAGCTTTTGACTGATGTAATACTCATAATAAGGAAAATGCATTTCATCGCGAAGCCAATCACAAGTTCAGCCGATCTTTTGCAAAGCTGTCATGCTATGCCCCAGTTACGTAAGACACAATGAGAACACCAAAATTAGTCGTTTTTCGAACAGTTGCTTACGAATTACTTATTCTGTTCACTGTAATAATAATGATGATCGTCACTCCTTCGAGTCTGAGCACGATATAGTTTTTCTCAATCATGTCGATGAGCGTGCAAACGAATAAGAAACCTGCGTTTGGCTCCGAAAGTCAAGTCGCATTGAGGATATGCTGTGCCTCGGAAAGTGCTAACCGAGATGATGGTTGTTGCTGTCAATAACTATGATCCATTATCGAGAATGACACCCTCAGGTGATGGAAGCTGCATCATCCGAAGATGAAAACGACAATTCGCCAAGCAGTAAATCAGCATCACCTCCGCCGTCAAAATCGTCGAGCTCTAATTGTAAGAAATCGGATAGAGGTGTTAATATCGAATCAATTCAGCAGCCGGAAAAAGTCAGTTTAATTTCAATGGCTTCCACGTCCTATCCAGTTAGGATACATCGTCAGTTTCAGCCCAGTACAGTCACAACCATACGCTGACCATACAAGTCCAACTTATTAAACTTCACGTCAATGAACAGAGTGATCTGAATTGATCATTTCAGTTAACGTTATAATTTGTTTTTGCTTAAAAATCATCAGTAATCTTTGTAATGTATTCATTTACCAATGCTAAGTGATCTTTTAGATGGAAACGATCGCTTTGGCAATAACTTGAAATAGTAAGCTCGAAGCAAATTATAGAAAATATGAGAATATCAGAGTAATTGTATGGATCGGTGCTGAATATTATTATCA